AAGTCGATACAAAAACGGTACTTGCCGCTCGGTTTCTTAACCATCACGATCGGATTAGACCACTCGCTTTTCGAAGGCTCTATTATTCCGTTTTCTAACATTTGATCTACTTCGCCACGGATCGCCTCTTGCACTTTTGGCGACACTAAATAGCATCGCTGTCGAATCGGCGGATGAGTCCCAACGTCGATACGATGTTCGGTAAGCGACGTGACGCCGGGACTTTCGACAGCGGTCGGTACGGTCTTCACTAAAAATTCCTTTAATTTTTCATTCTCTATTCGCGATAATTCCGAAACCCCGTAGCATCGATTTTCCTGTCCGCGCTCGTTGCAGAACGGATAGCGGATCGCTGCGTCACTCGCAAAGGACCACTCGCCTCGCGAAAAATCTGTAATTACACCAAAGGCGGCGAGAAAGTCCATCCCGATAACAACCGAGACTGCGAGACTCGGCATCAAGCCGACGGCCCTCAGCCGATCACGTGATCAACTTGCGGAGGCGTGCACGTGAGCGAGGGCAGGTAGCATGACCGGCGCATGTGGCCGGCCGATAACTAACACTCAAACCTGATAGGGAACGTGACCTGCCTCCGCTGCACGCGGCGACCGGGCTCGCGGGCCACACGATGCGCACCGAGCCGCAATATTCACTCGCGATACTCGCGCACACTCACGAAACAAAGGCGCCTCACGAGAGAGACAAAGGACGGCGACCGCGCTCGGCCAGCCGTCGCGCGATGCAGCGCAAGCACGCTGATTTGCTGACGTCGATGTCCGGATGACGGTGAAGGCTCGTCTCCGCGAATGCGCGGCGCGCGGCTGTATGCAGCTAGCCGGATCCCGCGACTCGCGCGTAGGATCGCGAATGATCACGTGCGCGACACGTGAGCGCCACGTGCACACCGGAACGGGCGGCTTCGGATCGGCGGCCCTAAAGGGCCTCTAAGCCTCGCGGACTGAGCCCAGCACGGAACACTCGGACAGGCTTACCGCCTCCGAGAACGACAACGAACGTAATGCGAGAGGCATTACAGCGCACAGCCTACGCGGCGAACGAGAACGAGACGGACGGAACGCACGAACGGACGAACTCTGACTTGTTCTCTCGACGAGCGAAGATACGACTCTGCTGTAGAGCGCCTGAGGGCACGCTACCAAGAACCGGTACGCGCGAGGTCTCGCGGCGCGGCCGAGAAATGTTGCCGCAGCTGCAACACCTGCTTCCGTCTCCCGACGCGAGGTGTCGGCTGCTGCGCTCCGCGCACTAACGAACGCACACCCGGCAGCTGCCGGACCGCCACACATATACATGGCTACAGACAGGCATCTTTTTATTAATATTTCGAAAACTATATGAAATGCACAAGTGACTATGGAGCATATACATCTCGCTGTTTGTCGTCGATGTGAGTTTTCCATCCGCTTTAACCGCCGTTACATTAAGACATGTTCGAACATGTTCGGACCTGTGATTGTTTTGAGAAACGTACCTTTTGATACTTTGATGAAAGGACCGCAAAAAAGGTCTGAATCCAAGTAAAATGAACAGAGAGAGAGAAAGAGAGAGAGAGAAAGCGAGAGAGAAAGAGAGAGAGACAGTTTTCCTAACCTTAATAGTGGTCAACTTTGTCGGCTAATATTTCGCTTCGCAGTAGAGAGCGACGAGTTTGTCAGATGAAAAAGTCGTTTCTCATGCAACAACGCGTCGATTGAATCTACTTTCATCGAAAAGTGAGGAGCCTAAACTGAATAATTACCGAGAGCAAAACTTTTTCTCTTTCAGAAAAGCTAAAAATGTGGCGAGTGTATGAAGTTGGCACCCCACATTTTGAAATATTATAATTTTGAAAGTTGTTCCAGATTGTTCTGACTTTGTACCACATTGTTCCAAAGTGATATTGCTTCATTCGAAACGGTTTTCGAATAAAATAAAAAAAATGATTTTTTGAGCTGGCACCCCACTTTTCGAAAATCGAACATTCTGATACCGCAATAGATTGTTCTAGTTACTCCAAACATTGTTCCAAAAGGACAAATCCGTAAGTTGAATTATAAGTCCAAAAAATGAAAAACATGTTTTTGACCTGACACCCCATTTTTTGAAAATAAAGCATTCCAATACCGATATAGATTGTTCTAGTTGTTCCAAACATTGTTCCAAAAGCACAAATCAATAAGTTTAATTATAAGCCCGAAAAATTAAAAAAAAGTTTCTTGACAAACAGTCTATCGGACCAAGAGTAAACTTATACTATCTTTCTTGTTCCAATCGAGATCTTTTTGTTCTGAGTTGTTCTAGGCTTAAGAATTATAGTTCTAGAGTATGATACTTATAAGATCATTCATTTTCCGAAAATTCGTAAAAAAATCAATTTGACAGTACTCGACGTCAAGAGTAAACACATGCTTCCTTTCTTGTTCCAAACGAGATCTTTTTGTTCTGAGTTGTTCTAGGCTTAAGAATTATAGTTCTAGAGTATGATACTTATAAGATCATTCATTTTCCGAAAATTCGTAAAAAAATCAATTTGACAGTACTCGACGTCAAGAGTAAACACATGCTTCCTTTCTTGTTCCAAACGAGATCTTTTTGTTCTGAGTTGTTCTAGGCTTAAGAATTATAGTTCTAGAGTATGATACTTATAAGATCATTCATTTTCCGAAAATTCGTAAAAAAATCAATTTGACAGTACTCGACGTCAAGAGTAAACACATGCTTCCTTTCTTGTTCCAAACGAGATCTTTTTGTTCTGAGTTGTGCTAGGCTTAAGAATCACCGTAGTGTAACCTTACGGTGTGTCGGACAGTCGCAGGCTTTAATCGTAGTTTCGCGCGTATAGAAATAATGTAGATAACAACTTACCAGTGGTCGTCCACCGTGTAGTTGCTCTCTGTACCCCTGGATGGCACTCTCATGGCTTACATGGATCGGCACATCCTGGAGCTCTAGATGCTGCCGATTCTGGGGAACTTGGATCGCGCGGCGGCGAGTTCGAATATTCGAATCACTTGTAATTGACCGATGGACACTAGGGAGGAACATCGCACGTCGCGGTTTCGCTTAGGGTGCCGTCCCATTGAGCACGGATCGGAACGCCGGATCGGATTTCTTACTATAATGAGCGTTCCGTTCTCTAGTTCCGTTCCGTAAAAGTTTCCTCTACCAGTCTCATGTAGCAAAAACGGAACGGATTTCTAGTTATAAAATATATTTAACTCTTCAATTAAATATTTCAGAATATTCATGACAATGTTATCGGCAAGATAATTGCATAAATTATGTATATAATTAATTCTGTCGCGTCAAAATAACGAAATATTGACGAATTAATCATATTTATTTGCGACCGACGCGCCATTCCGTTCCGTTTTTGCTACATGGGACTCGTAGAGGAAACTTTTACG